AATTAAAAGCTACGGAAGGAGTATTGTATCAGGAGTCAGATGGTGAGCATGTACTGCCCATGTGTGATGAAGAGGACAGAAACTCTGAAGCATTTGCAAATGAAGTGGAAGATGAAGATGAGATGGCAGAAGGGGGGCAGGTGACCTCTTCAGATGAAGCAGATGACGTCAGCTCAGCAGCAACTCGCCTGCCACAGAGAAAGTATCCTTTAAGACAAAGACATCCACCCACAACACTGACGTATGATACATTAGGCAAAACCTCTCTCACACATAGAGGTTTTTGATTTCACAGTTGCAATGTGAAGTCATAAGACAGTTAATAAAGTTCATAATTAAGAGGAAGTTCGTTAGACAGTTTTATTTAATACATACAGTTCCAGTAAACAGACAGTGACACATAAATGGCTCAAATATAGTGATGCAGTCATAACAGCTGGTATGTGGGTCGGTTGAGAGAGCATAGAGTATGTCTAAGGTTCCAACCTTTCAGCACTTGATGTGTGGCCCGTCGCATGACGGAGCAACCTTTCAGACATCCCAAAATGGGGGGTGCAGGTTAACAGGTTAATCATTCTCTGCTGAGATCACGAAAGATTTAATGTCTTTTGTATTTCAGTTGATTTCATCGAAGGCTGTGTCTGGAAGTCAGTTGTATGTTTGGAGAAGGTTCTTATAACAAAAAGCTGTTAGCTGAGTGTGCACTTGCGCTGTGATATCACTGTGATAGTGTTGAGAAACAGGATATAGAAAGCCTCCTCGGTGACCGATATTTGAACTGCCTCCTCTCAACCTGCTCAACATTTTGAATTCACAATGAGCTCACATATTACTCACACTGTGAGTATCCCCGTATGAGAATGGTGTGATGTCACTGTGATCATTGCATGATCTCACGTGTTGACTGGCGAGAATCTGGAATCTCTTGTTCTGGGAGACGGTTCATGATTTATTGGGATTGTATAAAAAATGAGTGGGTGGATTTTTACCATTATAGGCTGGTTGTTTTCACACACTGCAGCCACACAACTGTTTTCAAACACATTATAAAAGTGATTTTTGCATAATAGGTCCACTTTAAAATACATGACAATTCACTAAATAAGTAGTTGAGGTTAATCTTTCTTAATGTATCCATGTACCCTAGTGTGGTTTAAATGTGCTAACTTATTTATCAAGCAACTATTACATAAATATGATTATATTGAAATTCTTGTTTAGAATACTGAATTATCAAGTTATTATGAACTAAGGCCACATTTTTACCAGCGTACTTAAGTTCTTGACCATCAGTTGCATTTCTGAATGTCATTTAAAACAGTATTCATATATTTTTCAGAACAAGAAAAGACATATCCAGAGAATAAGGAGTCCCTTACGGTACACCCGCCCCTATCAGCCAAGGTTTGAAGGGAAAAACCTGCATTCACGGTAAGGATATGCATTAAAAAAAAAGATGAAGGCAGAATACAGGTCTGGGAATGTGCAAGCCAAACCTGTTTCTGGAGGGCCACTGTCTTGCAGAGTTTAACTCCAACCCTAATTAAACACACCTTAACCAGTTAATCAAAGTCTTCTGACCGTGTCCACATGTACACAGGTATTTTTATAAACAGTTTTTCTTTCTTCCTTTTCTAAAAAAATCTCTGTCCTCATAAAACCGCAAAAGCATGCTATGAAGCACTGTCAAGAGCACGCCAAACCAACAGGTAGCGATATAATGTCAACCGTAAAGCCATGTTGGCCAATCAGAAGCCTGAAAAAGTTTCCAGTAGGCGGCGATAACAGCGCTTGCTCTGACGTCACAAGCCAAAATCTCCGGTTTCGCTGTCTACATGATAACACTGAAAACTGAGTTTTTGAAAATCTTCACCCTGGCAGGAGTGTTCAAAAATGTTCGGTTTCAGTGACCTGTTGCTGGGTTTGCATGTGGATGAACGGGCAAACCGCATAGAAAAAGCTGCGGTTTTGAAAATACCCGTATTCGTGAGGACAGGGCCTCAGACTCACTAGAAACTCCCAGGCAAGTGTGTTGGAACTGTTGCAGGACATTGGTCCTCCAGCAGTAGAATTGAACACCTCTGGTGCAAACTCTAATAAAGAAAGAGAGAAGATACAGACATGTAGCTGCCTCTCTACACTATAAAAACATGCAAATGCATATTTTCCAGTTTACGAATCCTTTTGAGTCTCAAATTTCTCACTTTTCTTGAAACTACATAAAAACCCTTGTCAGACCAACAGAATTACCCCAAATGTTGTCCCAACTAGACTTGTGCCGGTTTTCGGTAACGCGGTATATCACGGTAATTGATATGCACGATATTGTTATCGTGGGCACTTCTAAATACCGTGAATAATTATATATTACAAATTATTCCGAATTTTGAATGCATTTTAAGAATACTTTTCCCATCAACTGGTCAGAATGCACAACAGCGCTGTATGCTGCGTGAAAGACGCGTGCGCACTCTGATGTAAAAATCAAGCATTCTGCGTTAGTTCAGGCAGGCCTCGTAGTCAAGCTCCGCTATCAGCTGACTGGCGAAATTGAAACCCGGCCCCTATCAGCTGATCCGACTCCTAAGCTTGCAATTGGCAAATCTCAAACAGGGCGCCTTACTTAAACACCTCTTCTGTCTGCTTGCTTTGCTGCTTTCTCTATTACGCTGCTTGCAACCCACCTCCTCCCCATCTCCTCCTTTAACTGTGCTTAACTTAAACAATGTCATTCTATCGTCATTGTTGCATGCTCTGTTCTGGGGGTCTTTTTTGTGCTATTCTCCTATTATTAAAATAGGAGGGTTGCCCCTGAAGTGACTGCTTTTCCCTGTCCTGGCTTTCGTGGAGCTCATGAAAAGGACAGGAAACTTGGAACAGAGCCATACTGCCAAATGTAACTTTAGTAAACATGCTAATAAAAAGTTGATTTAAATGCTTGTCTATGGGTTCTTGTTGACTTAAGAGATCCTGACTGAAGTTAAAGTGGATTGAATATAGCAAAACAAGAGATACCCTACTATTTTTTGTAAAGTATGCAGACATTTTCCTGAAGCACATAGTGAGTTTACTTTCACAAAAGACGGATATAAAGATTGTCTCTGACAGGCCCTAGTCCCAACTAGTCAAACGTTCTTCTGAAAAAATAATTTCATATTGCTGAAATGTTAAGGCTTTGTGAGTTCCCAGCATGCATTGCAGCATGACTAAATAATACAGTTACTGTTGTTTTTGTTGTTTGTTGGCTTCATTTAAAACTTCTTTTGCTGTTGCTTTGTCATTATTTTTAGTGTTGTGCTGTGATGTAAAGAGCTCATCTTTTTTTACATTTGTTGATTGCCACCATTCTTGAGGTTTGTGTGCCAAATATTGAGGCCTAGAGTATGTTCACCTACTTAAACCACTTTTTCTAGAACTCCTTATCTAGACCCAGATAGTTAATATAGCTATGTACGACTTAATTAACACTCCAGGCATTAATCAGCGGTTCTTCTAGAATGCCTTGTCTAGACCCCGATAGCTAATATAACTTCGTACAACTTAATTAACTCTGAAATCATATACATGGTTAACGTAACTGAGTACAACTTAGACTAAGGTCCAGTGGTTAGTCATAAACCTATAATCTCACCTGATGCATCTAATCCTGAGATCTTAGTATGCACATAACCCTGGATGCAGATTTGCGGAGACATACGCCTTCACTTAATCTACTTGAGGAAATAATTTCAGAGTAAATCAGAATAAGTCAAATGTAACAATTTATTATCAGTCAGGTAAATATGTATTATGCCAATTATCTCCACAGCAAATTCAACGATATCAAATCAATACAAGACATCAAATTCTCAAAGACGAATCTAAGAGTAAAATGCATACCTGACCTTTTTAGAAAAAGACATAGTGTGAAGTGTGTGGACACACTCCATACTATGGGCTCTCCGACTACAGAATCACGCCGACCCTTTTGCTGCAATCCTTTAAATACAAAACCAAGATAAAACATCCCCCAAGTGGATGCATGTACAAACAATTGGTATCTGGGTGGCTAGTTTACACCTCAATGGGAAACAGAAGGTAATTTGCATGGAATGACCCTCTACGGTAATC